TTCCTTTGTCCATGAGCAGGACACCGGGTTTGACGCAGAGCCAGGATCCATGAGCTCTTCCACAGGGATGGGACAAGACCCACCCGGGTGAAGGGACATTGCTGTGTCCCCATCCAGCTCTCACCTGCCCTGCATCCATGCTGAGGAGCTTGGGATAAGGATAGAGGCTCCTGGTCAATGTCCCAAAGCATTTCCCATGCCTCAGTTTCCCTGCTGGAAGCAGGGCCAAGGAGGGAACAGCTCTGCTGTAGGAGCACCGGGTCTACATCCCTGCTGAGCCACCACCCCACTGGAGGTGGCCTTTGGGGACTCCTGGCCTCGTCCTACCCCAGCATCTCCCACAGGAGAAGCACCTGGGCACCCCCTGTGCTCCCTGAAGAAAGGACAGCCCCAGATGTGCCTCTGGTCCCAAAACAGCTGCCGCGGTGCGGGGGGCTGGATCCACACCCCCGGATCAAGCCAGGCTCCCAAGAGGAAAGATCCTGTCCTAAGGCTTGGTGTGAACAGAAGGGGGGATCCTTTGGAAGAGAAAACCGAACCCCTCCCTCCGGGGTCAGCACAAACCTGACAAGGGCGAGGTTAAGCGCTGGGGGCTGAGGGGGATTTTGTCCTTTCCCTGCAATTTTGGGAGCTCTCCTCGTGCCAGGAGGCTCCTCCAGCCGGCTGCTCCCCGGAGCTCCCAAGCACGGCCCGAGCCCGGCCGCGCTGCTCCGTCCCGGCCGCCGCTCGCACCGCCTAATCCCACATGTCAGCAGATCCTTCCCGGCCAGACACAAGTCTGGATCCCCTTCCAGTCACCTCCAGTTCAACCCTGCATCTTTCCAGTTGATTAAAAAGGAGGAGAAGGCAGCCAACTTTCCCCGACGAGCCCCGGCGCGTTCCTAGCCTAAAATTCCTGCGCCCTCTAGTGAAGTGGAGCCGAGCGCCTCGGCCGCTCCAGGAGCGCGTCCAGGAAAACCGAGGAGAATCGGGGCAAGGAGAAGTTGTCCCAGAGCTGCCCAGAGGCAAAATCGTCTCTAAGCTCAGCTTTGTTAACCCTGAGATGCCACAGCCCGGCTGCGGTGGCAGCCAGCCACGAGGACTCACAGCAGGGCCGGGATTTTTTGGGGACGCTGGAAAGAGTTTTTCCACGTTGGGGTATGTCCCAGAAGAGCCAAATCTGGGAATTTGCTCCATCCAAGGGCGCTCATTTCCACCATACACCCACACCGACTGAGACCCCACCACCCAGTGAGCCCGGCTGGAACCTTCCCGCTCCCCCCTCATGGAAAAAGGATATTTAAGGATTTATGGATTTCCAAAGGCAGAAAATGCCTTCCCAGTGCCTCAGCTCCAGGTCGCATGACAGCAAAGTGCCCTCAATCCCAGCTGGAGAACGCCCCAGCCCCATCCTTAGTCCACGGCCAAGGAGAGGGAATTTGAGGGAATTCTGTGAGCTCCAGCAGTGATCCCACACATGGTCTGGGTGTGGGGAACCACGTTTTCTGGGGTTTCTCCTTCCCACTCCAAGCACCAGCACCAGTCCCTGCCTTTTGCCATCCCTGGTTTGCAGGCCCCTCGCTCCCACCTGGCACGTCCTCCCCAAAGAGGGAACGGAGCTTTCCGTTCCTCCCCTCCAGGAGGAAAACTGAAATTTTGGGATCAGCCACCTGCATCCCATCCAGCCTAGAGCCGCTGGCCTGACCAAAGTGAGGCGGGATGAGCCTGGAAATGTTTTCAGGAACCAATTTGGCACCTGCCGGAGGTTTGGCCGACAGGAGACGTCGGGAAACATCCAAAGTAACATCTCAACCTGGATTTGTCCTAATTCTTCCCACATTTCCAGAGACCAGGCTGTGTTTGTCCCAGCCCCGTCCCATCACCACATTATCCTGGATGTCTGCCCCTCCCCAGAGCCCATTCCCATGCTCCAGCGGGCTTGGAAACCGGGATATTTTTGGAGGTGGTTCATGGGCAAGAGGCCGTCATGGTACTGGGAGCATGAACAAAGGGAAAACACAGCAAAAATGTTGGAAAGGCACCGCAAAAGGAGAGAAAATTCCAAAAAAACCCTATTCCTGCCCAGACACTGTGCTTATAAAATGTTCAGCCTTTGCACACAGCAAAGAAGTGATTCCTTTTGTCCCCTTTTTCCTCTGGAAAATGAGGCACGTGGAAGGCTCCATCCTGGAGGGATCCAGGCTCTCGTCAACGCTCCAGCCTCCAACTGGAGTCTGGGAACAGGAGCTGGAGCCTCCAGGCTGGAAGGAATGATGTGCCCTTGCCAAAGGCTCTTGAACAGAAATTCGAATGCTTCCCCAAAAGAATCTGCTGGGAAAAAATGGAAGGATCATTTCAGATCCTTGCATCATGTCATGATGCACCTTCAAGGGTTGTCCCTACCTGTGATTTTTCTGTGTTTAAAAAAAAAATATTATGAGAAACTCCAGCATTTCCAGTCAGATTCGGAATAAAATTAAGCCCAAGATGTGCATTTCCCCACAGCTCAAAAATCTCCATGTTCAAGAATCTTTCCTACAAATCCCCCACATGGCATGGGAGGATTTTGACCCCAAACCCTTTAAGGCCCTGCTTTAAATCCCCAATTTTCAAGGCTGAGTTGTTAAATGGGGCTGTGGGGGAGAGCCAGGACCAAGCAGGACCTGCCCCAGCAGCCCCTCTGCAAAACTGCCTCAGTCTCCCAAAAATTCCACCCCCAGCAAAATTCCATCAAGAAATTTCACCTTCTCGCCCAAATTTATGGGGATACCGAAAAACACTGGGATTCATCAGCTTTGGAATGCTGCTCCAAGCGTCCTCTCCCT